GGGGTTTATTTTTGTTCTTTGTTGCTTCCTCTGTTTGAAACACCTGCAAATGGTAAGGTTTGATTTTTTAAGCTTTTGGAGCCCTGTGTTGTTTCCCATGTCAGTGAGCTCTCCTGCTGGTTCTTGGGTGTGCGTGTGGGGTTGGTGTTCTCTCCTGGCGGCTTCTGCCCGTGAGTCTCCCTGTTGTGTTCTCTTGTTTGTGTTGGGTGTTAGCTGGTGGCTTCCCCTTTGGCTGCCCCTACCCGTAAGCTTGTGGCTGTTGGTTTGGCTTTGGTGGCTCCTCTTACTACTCCTACCCGAGAGCCCTTGTTTGTGTTTGTTGGTTCCTTTGTGCACCTGTTTGGTGGTCCCTCTTACTGCTCCTACCCGAGAGCCTTTATTTGTGTCTGTTGGTTCCTTTGTGCAACTGTTTGTTTATCTCCCTTGCTGCTTCTACCCGAGAGCACCTGGTTGTGATTTCCCATATGTTGGGCTCGGTTTGCCCTCTTGGTTGCCCCTGCCGTCAGCACTTGCTGGGTTTCTTGTGTAGTGTTGGGTTTGTATGGCATTAAAAGCTTTTGGTTCGAGGTGGAATTGAAAGCTTTAACGATTGGTGAAATGGTTGGTGAAATGGAACGGTGAAATGGAACATTTCGATTCTTGTTATTTGGAAGAATTCAAATGCCCCTTTTCGAGGAATGATTTTTTAAATGTTTGGAGATGTTTAAGGGTCCAATTCTGCGGGCTGAATTGATTGCAATAAAAGGAAAAAAAAAAGAGAGAAAAGAAAATCTTTGGATATTTGAGAAAGGTTTGGGAATAGCTTTGAAGTCTTTAAATTGTGCATTTCGGGATTGTTTTTGGCTAGCATCAGGGAGTGTGCCCATCTCATTACTCATTTGAGAAGTCCCATTGGGTGGGTGTTTTAGGCTAACCCTCCGACCGTGTTGGCTTTTCTTTCATAAATTGATTTTGGAGGTGGGTTAGACTTCTTTCTTTTTCATTTATTGTTCTTCGGTTCATTTTTCTTGCTTCTTGGTTTGAGTTTTAGGTGCTTATGTCCGATAAATAAGTGCGCGCATAAAGCTCTGGCTATATATAAAACAATCAAGCAATGTCGTAAGTGAGACGGTCATTTTTTGGGCATTAGGCCTTGATGATAAAGACATTCGGTGGTAGCGCGGAATAATATGTCATCCTATGACATCGGGACCCGATCCAGGGACACGATGAAATGTAGGATGACAATATTATTCATCAACACCAAACTAGCAGGGCAACCTTATCTTCTTAGGTTGTTGGTGGTCCCAGCCCGACGGTTCGATCGACTTGTGGACAATCATATTTTTATAAAAAAAAAGAAATGATAAGAATATATACGTTATTTTCTAAAGTATTTTAACTACCAAAATTGACACTACTATTCTTGTATGTATGAAACTTATATGCATACTAAAATATAAATTTTAAATAACATAATTCGGTTGTCCATTTGTTAATCGTCGGTATTGGGTTAAGAAATACCCTCTTAAGTTGGTATAGTAGGACACCTTTCCAGTTGAACGTCGGGCTCTAAACATACGAGTGATCGATAGTTGCCTTCGGAGTCCCCAGAGAATACCTAATTCTGAGCCTAGCCTGACCCGAATACTTACGGTTTTTCTTGCTTTCTTCAGATTTTTGAGTGTTTTCCTACGGTTTTATCAAAGTCTTTGTAAAGCACTCATAATTTTCTTCGAATTTTCCTCGTGTTTTTCGACGGTTTCTTTTTTTTCTCAAATTACTGTGGGTCATCTGCCGCCTTTTCTCGAGTCTTTTCAGGAGCCGTCGACCCGTCAAGCATACAAGTTTATTTTACATTTACAGCGTTTACTTTTGCTACTGCACGCTTTACTGCATATACACATAATTCATGCCTACAATATTACAATTTAGGGTTTACTGTGCCACATCACATGTTCCCTTTTATAACTCATGTTGTTTCTACAGACTTACAGGGGACTTTTAGGTTAGAGGTCAGTAGGACACCTGGTTTAGGAGGTACCTTGTAGCGAGTCACTGACCCAATATTTGTACATTAATACACACCACAATACCAAACTTATAATCCATCTGCTAAGGAGCTTAGAGTAGTCTTTCCAAGAAGCGGAACGTGGAAACAAGCGGATGGAGGGCGCTGATCGAGACCACGACGACGAGGTGTAGGATGTCTCTTTAGAGTTAAGGTTCGATTGTAGTATAGTTGGGAAGTTACCGGGGTTCTCCCTTGATCTGTAACATATTCTACTTTTCACTCTGTTGACTCTTCAAAATAACTGTTCATATTTTGAGTCCCCCCCTTTTGATTTCCTCATATTTTATCGTTGGAAACCTAAACTTTGAAATCTTGAATGCAAAACCACTTATCTTAATCGAGAGTCTTATTAAGTGATTTCGATTGTTTAAGATGTAATTAACTATACGGGTTTGCCTCTATAGGGAACTTAAAAACCCAGCTTAATATAAACCATATTTAATCTCTTTTACTAAATAGGAAAAATTGTCGGCTTATAAAAAAATTTCGCAGACCAAACGGATGTCACAGATCTTTTAGTTTAGGTGGTCAAGCCTGCTAACAAGTTGTATACATATCCTTCGGGATAAAGTATTGCTTGTGGTATCACACTTAATCATTTAAATTATCAAATATATGAGTTCCGCTCAGTCTCACTTTTCAAAATTAAACATTATTTTCTAAAACTATAATCATACCTCATCTATCTAAATTAAAATCCAAATTCAAACGAATCTTCGAAGGAAAAGACGGGCGCCAACTGGTTGCCGAGAAATCTGTTTAAGATAGGTATTAACGAAGCAATTATATTTTTCTGTTAATTACTTCATGAGTCAAGATATCTTTAAATCCAAAGTTAATTTTGGGCTTCATGTTGGTTATCCGAGACGGCAAGTTAGAGGCAAGCGTGTAGAAGATTATAGTACATCGACATCGTTAGCTAAATTAATCATAAACTAAGAAAACTAATTTAATTAATAGAAATTACCAAAATCTTGAAGTTTAATATTATGTTATATAGAGTTTTCAGCTCAACATAAAAGTCACCGCAAATTTCACCTAGTTATCGAAGATTAAGGCTTTACCGTGGCAACTAAAGTGGGTAATTACATTTATAAATTTCAATAATTTCTTTATTTCAGAACGTATGTTAATTTATATGGATTTTTTAGTTTAGTTAAATTTATGTTACACTTGATTTTTCATATTATTAAATTAGAAAAAATATGCATGATAGAAAAGATATAAAATATATGCATGATAGAAAAGATATAAAATATATGCATGAGAGATATGAGATACATGATATACATAGGCATGATAGGAAAAATATGAATTATATGAGAGTTATGTAATGAATAGCTACACGACAAAGTAAAAATAAGTATGGATGTATGCTCTTATATGCATAAAGATGTCTCAGACTAATGTGTGTATTGAAGAATGATTTTGTTTATACATGAATATTTGTACATGCATGTTCAAATGAGGATTTCATGCCAAATGGTATAGGCAGGGGATGTCATTGTACCTGCGCAAGTAGATTTTTTCTACGACCACAAATAATTGAGCCGGTTAGTTCACTAACCGCTATGTCGATGAAATAATATTGTTCAGGGGCGAGTAGACTAGAGTTTATCTCCCTAGACAATTGTAGTGTTCACATTGCTAACTGCTAAACTAAAGAGGCAATATTGGTCAGGGCAAGTAAGGGTTTTCCCACCCTAAAAAACTGCAATGTGTAGATCACTAACCGTTGTGAAGACGAGAGCTGACAAAGATCTGTCAGGTTTGTTGACGGTGATCCTCACAGAAACAGATGTGTATGTAAAGTATAAAGTACAAATAATATAAAACATAAATGTATGGTCATTGAGAAAATGTCATTGATGCACGCATTAGCTTATATCAGATTGCATATAAGTATATATCAGATTGTTTATAAATATAAATATGAAATACAAGTATATTATAAAAATTTCTTATAGACTCGCATATATATTGTATTCATTTCATTGGATTATTGTATTTAGTAATGTAATTACTCTTGGGATATCTTTAAATAACACATTGTATCGTTTTAATATCATTTTAGATTTTAAATATTTGAACAAAATGAATAGAAAAGCAAATGTGTGTAGAAGACGAGAACAACAAACAGAAATGTACAAATTTCTACTTGTTAATTTTATTTACTTTCTTTAGTGGCACTTTTACATTTTTATTTAAATACTGAATTGTTAGTAATAAAAATGGAATACAAAGAAATTTTTCAGCATCTGACTGTCCATTCCCGTCTTGGTTAATTCTAACCCCCAAGTCAGGCCGTGACAGTAATAACTCTCTTCATATCAATTCCCTCTTGATGATGGTGCTCTACCACCCAGGTAGATCATAATGAGTGAAAGTGTACATCAAAACTCCAAACATGGTCTTTGTTGCATTAATCTCAATTAAGTCCTTTCGATTAGTATTATAAAGGCATTTAGAAATCAAAAAAATGCCTAATGATTTATCATTAATTGACCTAAATGAATTGCATAATCAACCTCAACACCCAAGCATAAGGTTCTTTTAAAAAATGAACAGATGCAAAGTTTGCCCTTAATCTTCGGGGTAGATGTTATTTTATTTCGTTTGAAAATGTTCCAATTAAAATGACTTCAACTTGTTGTTTTTCATTCGCACCCTTTAACATCAAACCTAGCTTCAAATTTTATGATGATTGATTCTCCTAAATTAGAGAAAATTAAAAAATAACAGAAGGAATTGATTCATATGAATATCTTCTCTATGATCCACAATCCCAAGAAAACATGACATGACATGAGCAAAATTAAACTCAAATAATAACAGTAATGAAAAATCAAATTGAACCTGACAAAAATATAATCATATTATGAAAAATGTGCCACATCTAAAATTCTTAATACCTCTGAGAATTTGATGTTAATAATAGTTAACTCACCCCATGTCATCGTATCCCATCACCAATGCCTCTCCCTACAATTAGCAAATTCAAACATTAGTAACATATGAGTTAAAGATGCAAAGTTCACGCAGCTATAAATTTAAGAAGACTGAATAGATATATTAGTTTAAAAGATAAAATAAGCAGTATGAACAAATGAAAGTTTTTAAGCTTAACAAATAAGAAAGCTTGCTTAGCATTATGACACCCATGCTATCTCTTTGGTAATAAACCTAAATTATTATTCATATTTTTAATCAAAAAAGGAGTGAAAATCAAAAAAACACCATAAAATTGGCATGTTCTTACAACTTCAACATACCATACTCAAAGATTCCCCACATATTTCCTAGAATAAATAGATTTGGTAAATCGGTGTAAGTTTTTTCACTCAAATGCACCTACCATCCTGTCGGCACAAAAAAAGGAGAAAGTTATGTTTGGGGGTCGCCCGTAAGAAGTTGTCGGCAGCCGGAATCGAAATCCCGTCACCCGCTTCGGAATGACTTTTTAATTTACGTATATATATATATATATAATTTTTTAGAAAAATATGAAATCAAACTGACCTCATATTTTTCACAGTTTAAATGAAAGAGCGCTCTACCTCAAATCCTGTATTTA